CATTTAAGCAGCAGTATGATGGGATTTCTTCTCAGTGGAGTCCAAAGTGAAAAAAAAAAAAGTTAGACTGGTCACCCGACGTTATTCCTGGTCAAACTGGTGTCGGATTAAGCTCCTAAGTTTTCATCAGTCACATTTCACCATGTAAAACGTCTGTTTTATCTCCTTGTATGAGTTTGTAATGGTTTGACTCTCTTTATAAAGTGCTTCCTGGCTCCCCCGTCTCCAAACTATGAGGTCCGGCAGCTCTCTGTATACAAGCCTAGTAGAGACAAATTGTTTTGATTGTTTGTTTCGGAAATGCGGTGTGTTTGAGGAAATGGGAAAAATAGGTTTCATGGTGCAGTCACGCACTTCCTGGTCACAAAACGTTCTGTAAATGTGCATATTATGGCAAAAATTATTCATCATTAAATGTGGTTTTAACATTTCTTTTATAAACTTTTATAAACTTTGAAGTCCGTGCTGTTTAATCCAGCTCACTGTTTTTGACAGAAGCCCTGTGAAAGCATCACAGCTTTGCCGATCTCAGAGTGTTAATAGAAAAAAAAGTTCCTGTACTTGCATCGTGATCACCAAAATCACCAAAATTTAAAGGTGTGTTCCTTGGCCCTGTACCCACATGTGATAAAAATGTTACGACAATCCGTCCACACGTTTTTGAGTAATGTTGTCCACAGACAGAACGACAGACAGACATACACGACCGAAAACATTACCTCGCCCTTGGCAGAGATAATAAGCAAATATGTCCAAACGTATGACCACAGGCTGCAGTTCTGAGTCTCTATGAGCAAACAGAGCTAAAAGCTAACACTGCTAACGGATCAAACACAGCTAACATTAATGAAACAGCTTCCTTCTTTAAACTTAAAGCCAGAGTGTCTCTGAATCATGAGCAGGGGCCTCATGTATCACAGAGTGCTCCGCTTTAGACAGAATAAAAGTTGGCGTACAGATTTTAGTGTAAAAGTGCGTACGCGCAGAAACATTCAGATGTATCACGTTTGTGTTATTCATTCACATTCCAAAGAAATGAGCACATGTGAGACTCCTCCCCCTGACACGCCTCCATTCAAATATGCAAATATGTGCAGCGTGTGTGATTCTACTCTCCTAAATAAGTAGTGGAGTGTAAAAATGTGTTTGCCACACGTGCAACGTGTCTGTTCCCGTCATCACTTCTAACCACTTCATGCTCTCACAGTCTGGGTTTATTTTTCAACTCCTGTCTTGACTTTTATTCCATGGTTACATTTATTTTTGTTTAATTGAATTTAAAATATAACATAAGAACATTACTTAAAACATGTTTGAATAAAATTAAAACCACAAAACTCAATTAAAAATTGTTTAGTCTAGAATATACAGTGATGTGATTAAATGGCCAGGACAGTTAGTGATACATCAGACTATAGATAATTTATTATTAGGTCTTAAAGTACCTGTGCCGTCAATTTTTTGTAATACATATGAATGCATTTTTGAAAATATGTCATTGACAAAATCAGTGTTGTATAAAGTACCTCAAAGTGATACTTGAGTAAAAGTACAAGTATCTTACCA